TGTAGGGACGTGAAGTCTGGAAAAGCCACCTACCTCCAGGTTGTCCGTGGGGCCGCACGCTCCCCACGTCAGCCCCCCTCGCGCTCAGGATCTCGGTGTGTTAGGGGAGCCCGGCGCCGGGCGTTCTGCTTTGAGGAGGCCGAGCTCCGCGCGTTAGTACTGGTGCTCCGCGTTCCTGCCAGCACGAAACGGTGCGTTCAGCGCGCCACGGGCATAAGCCCGGCCTAGGCTGCTGCCACAAATCAGCTTTGTAGTAACGGTCTTGCTGCTGATCCTGGGCGGGGAAACGCGTGTGCCGATGATACGTTTACTACCGGGATCTATCACATCAGACCACAAAATCACTGTTCAGTTACCACCTTTGCAACGTTTTACAAAATTAATATGGGCTACAATCAGAAGAGGAAACCACCCACACAACACATCACCAACACACGGTTTAAAACGGTCTAATTTTAGACCCTCAGTAAAAACAGATCCACAGGACCTGCCTGTGAATGGCAAGAAAAGGCCGTTTCAAATAGAAAAACACTGCTCATGCAACATTCTTCACACACTAGACAATGAAATCACACCCCAATTGCCACTTGCTCACACTTTCTATGACACTCCAATAAGCAGAAGGAAATAAAGCAGCTTTATAGTTATGTCACGATCTTGAAATGTGGAAAATACGTATAATAAACAAAAATCACGGTGCGAATACAATGGCATCAGTAAATTTAGAAAATTAGAGAGCAGGTTTGGGTTGGTTTCTTTTTTTTTTTCATTTTTCTTTTCTTTTTTCTTTCTTACATTATTGCACAGAGACCTTTTGTCACATGTTCTTCAGCTTTACGCGTCTTCCTAAATGTGAAATAAGTGCTATGGGTAAAATAAAAATGTAGAAAAGAAGAACAGCAGCATGATTTGTCAAAGTTAATACCTATAATTTAGTAGGAAAAAAAAAAACCCTGCTATAAACAAAATATAAGTGCTCTTTATTCATTTAAAAAATAACGCTGACAGGTGCAGGAGTCTGTAAATGTTAATCTGAGTAGGGGGATGCTGACCTCCAATAAAAATAGGCCTAGGACCGACAGGCTGCTGGCCTTGCGGATTTTGGTGAAGACCAGGATTTCAAGTGTGATTATCAACAAACATATTTACAGTAAAACTGACCTGAACTTTCAAGAGTGCCATTTTTAGGACCTGGCCCTGCAAGCTTCTGACTCCTCAGGACGACTCCAGCCTCAGCCGAAGTTACTCCTGAACAAGCGCTGCAGGATCAGCTCCTAAGGGATCAGTTAAAGGCCCTATTGGATTTGAGATTAGTCTTATCTGAAGTACTCTGTACAGTAATTTACACATATACAGGCTGACAAGCTCCGGTCTGATCCACCACACCTTTGTCTTCTACATCAGATTTCTCAGGCTGGCCAACTTCCATTCCAGAAGGCTTGGGATACCTGAACGGATACCCGTTGTCATCGAAGAACCTTCGGAAAGTAAACTCATAAAAAGCATGTTCTGTGTGTTTGCTATTGGAAGAGGCCAGTGGATCCCATGTCCTGGTGCTGTCACCGCTAGCATCGTTCCAAGGACCTTCCTCTTCAACTGGATCAAAATTTGAAGTGTCCATGGGATGGCTGATCTTTGGAACATAGGGAGCTGGCTGCCGACGGATGTCGGTAGAGAAGTCCATGGAGTGGAAGAAAGAATGGGCCTTAATATCATCTGCCCCGTTTCTTCCAAGCCTGTCCTCAGCGGCACAGCAGAGCTTCGTGATGAGATCAGTCGCCTCAGGGCTTAGCTTGATCTGCGCGGGGATGTGCAGCGTGCTTTCCCAATTGATCACCTGGAGGTAAGAGAGGTACTGAACAACTTCTAACCCTGGAAACAGGATCCTTCCGACTGTCAGCGTTAACTGCACGGGAGTATACACATAACTAGGCAACTCGCTGTCTGCACAGTCATTCTAGAGGTTGGAGAACCCAGTGACTACACTGTGTAGGCTGTTAATATTTACTTGAACGAGTCAAGAAACATTGTTGGAGAGCAGGTAAAAGGAGCAATTCCAGTTAAAATAAAAAGGCAAATTCCTTCCTGAATGCTCCCACAGTCCAATCTGAGAACATATTCAGTTTACACATGACTTCATGGACCGACTCCAAGGAATCGCTTCCTCTCGTCTCCAAAATGTAAACTAGGAAAAGTGGTCATGAGATAGATCCTTTTTAATAACAAACTACTCAGTGCTTGACTTTGAAACACACTGCCAACTGTAACTATCACTGGCATGACAGCTTAGTCAAAATTTGACAGACACTCTAAGGAATTCAGATGGACGAACTCGTGCTTAAGAAATGGGAATTGTGGTGAGGAATATCTATGCAGTAGGACAGGCCAGTTCTAGTCTCCTATTCAGTATCTTCACTGAATGGGAAAGGATTTGTCCCTGCACAGAACTATTAAGATCAGGCTTCTGTAATCACTGCTCCCTTCTCTAGCAAAACAAGAGGGGACAGGCCTGCGCATGGAGGAGAAGAGAAGGGAAAAGGTTAACACTTTCCTACCGCAGACCGGCGTTTTGCTTCAACTTACCTTCAGTTGGGTTTCTGTGGGTGTAGGAGCCAGAAATGGAGGCTGTCCCACCAACATCTCGAAGAGGATCACCCCAACGCTCCACCAGTCGCAGAGCTGAGTGTATCCTGAAAGGCAAGTCAAATGGTTGTCTTCCACCCACCCAGGAGAATGTGTACAGAGCTACTTGGAATTAAGTATCAAAACATCCAGCACAGATTGCCATTCTCAGACCATCTGTGACCTAAAACCAAAGGACTCCACCTTCACCATGAAGCCATTTCTACTTGCTGACCTAAATTCCACTGCTGTCAGTGAAGATCTAATTGTCTGGGAATCTTTCTGCGCAAATTTAATTCTCAACCGAAGTGAGGGGTAAATGATGTAATTAGAAAGAAATTTGGGGTTTTTTCATTCCCTGTCCCACAACTACATTACTGCACTGCACAGGCTGGAGCCCAAAGAATAATAAGGTTTAGTGACTGATGCCCCCTCTAGAAGGTGACATCACGAGCCTGAAAAGCTGCTGGAAGATACAGCCTGGCTCTAGAGACAGAAGGAAGCCAGAGATGACTTTGTGAGCAAATTCTAAGCAGAAGAACCATTTCAGTTGCTTCATAGCTGTGACAAGACAAATAAGGTATATGCTTGAGATCTCCAGCAAGAAACAGAGGATTTAAACGCTGTTTTCAATGGAGATTTGGGCCATCGGACGATGTGGGGACCAACATGAAATCTCTCAACTTGAGAAAGATCGGGCTTTGGATCTGGCTTGCAGACAACTCTGAACATGTCATCTCCTGACGACAGTGATCATGTCTGTTCTGCATGGACAGCCACCAAGAACTGCCCAAATTCCTCAAGCCAAGTTTTTGAATGCAGGGTGCCCAATGTAAAGTGTGGGAGATTTTTTGCTGGGTTTCTCTACGATTCTGTCTGGGAATCTGGAGGATATTTTTCCACAAGTTTACATCACCCGTATTTAAGTGGCCCAACTGAATCAGTGAGTCAGAACCTGGGTGAATGTCGCAGTGGTCATAGTCATACTCCCTGAGTACAGATAATCTGCTTTATGCTTGAAAAATATCACTGCCAACATCATGTGACACATTTATTAGCAGTCTCATTCAACGGCCTGAGAGTGTAGATATAGAGACATGATGTACGACCACCATCACCAATGTGATGCTGGACGGTGGAGCACATAGAGAAATCTGTTCTCCTTAATCTAAGCGTTTGTGGCCTTCAGAATGACAATCTTCCAAAGAAGCAAGCTTATTTCGGGGGGAAAAGAAAAATACTTCAAAGCATCAATGGTCACTTAAAAAGGAGAAAAATGCAGGTTATCTACCTTTACGAAGCAGGACTTCAGGAGCGATATAATTAGGGGTTCCAACTAACGAGTGCGCTAGACATCTCTGATGCTGCTTCTTAGCTCTTTGTTCCAATGTCTTCAGCCTATCTCCACATCTACAATTGGACACATCGTCCCAAAGATCACTGGGCTCCATGCTGTCTTGTCTGATATGGCTCCCTTTCAAAGGGGAGAGAAAGTTTACATTCACGGTCATAAAACACAACACACAAGTAGTATTTACCTAGGTCTAGTTGTGCCGTCTTCTACTCTCACTAGAGACCAACATTTAAACTTTAAACCCAAGGCGTTTTCTTCTGCCCTCCCCCTCACAACTGGTTTTCCACAACCAGCACAATGCCCGTCTCAGCGCAAGGCAGCACGCTGCCACGGGGAGACACAGAGCCGCGGGGTGCGGTTAGGTTAGCTACACCAACTGCAACGGACACCCGTACTCCTCAGCGGCACACACGGGAGGGGCGTGGATTACTTTACACCCTCTGTCATCGTGCACACCTCCGTGTCCTGAGCTGGTTTCTGCCAAGAGGTACCCGTTCGTTTCAAAATAAACAATGCGATTCCATCACAAATAAAGCCTAAGAACACTACCTTTCTGATAGTATTTTGAATTGTGAGTCCACCTGAATCCAGTACACAGTCCAAAGTCAGTCAGTTTGATATGCCCGTCAAGGTCTATCAGAATGTTGTCAGGCTTGATGTCTCGATGAATAAAGCCCATTTTGTGCACACTCTCTATAGCCAAAGTGAGCTCCGCAATATAAAATCTCGCCAGGCGCTCTGGAAAGACCTCCATCCGAATCAGTAGGCTCATCATATCCCCACCTGGGATGTAGTCCATCACAAAGTACAAGTTCTCTTTATCTTGGAAGGAATAATAGAGTTTAACCACCCACTCATTGTCAGCCTCAGCAAGTATGTCCCTCTCCGCTTTGACGTGAGCCACCTGGTTCCGGTTAAGCACATCTTTCTTCCGCAGAGTCTTCATGGCGTAGAGGGCGTGGGTATCCACTTTGCAGGCCAGGCATACTTCTCCAAACGCACCAATACCCAGAGTCTTGATTTTCACAAACATAGACTTGTCCATTTTGGCCCTTTTCAGCCTGTTGTAGTTGGACTCCTTCTGGTAGAGAATTTTCCTCATTTGTTCCTGTTCTGCTTCACACAGGCCAGCCTTTACAAAGGGAAGCAAACCACAAGAGCGAGTACCGTTACATTCATAGCAAGAGAACAATAAAGCAGCATTCCCAAAATACGTTTCTCAGGAAAATTAACCAAGTATCAGGAAAGACGACTTCATGGGAGACATACTCTCTTGTCTGTCTCTTGAGGTATTTCGGAAATATCGGCAAATTCACTGTGCCCTAACCTGGTACCTGAGCTGGCTGCATCTGCCCTTCTCATTTCACAGTACTGTCAGAGAGGGAAACATAACACAACAAACCTGGCCATCAGATTTGGTTTACACCTTTCAAACGCGCGCTTTGCCGCTGCGCTCCACTACGAGTGTGTGCACTGCAGTGTTGCTTAACTTGAACTGCAACGTAAACCTGGGTGCAGCAGTCCAATTGTTCATGAGTGCTTCTCCAGGGCGACTCACATCAACAGTTCCTACCTGGAGTGCTGTTTGACTGCCGGGTTTGGTGTTGCCATTAAGAAACTGGTTTTGACCTACACATTCTCAAGTGCTTTAGAAACTGGTTTTCTTTCTCTGACATCTACAGCCTTCACCCTCAAGCTTTGTAGATCTCCTGACCATCTGTTCTATAAACTTCTCCCTTTTCCCTCAAAAAATACACGCCTCTAACAGTCAGCTCTGGCCTTCCCTCAGCCACTGCAGCTCAGACCCTGCTACTATTTCTCCCCTAAATGTATTACTTCCCCTCTGCTCCTCAGCTGTAAAAAAGCTGGTGTGTCCAGCCTCCTCCTGTCCTTGAGAGGCTCCAAGTGACTACAGCTCACATTTCACATGGCTGCGGGGGGCGACCTGAAAAAGGGAGAAGCAGCAGTATTCAAACAGACTTTCCCCACCCTTCAACAGAGCCTGCACACTGCCAGCTCTGCCTGCTTCGGTGCCTGTCCCTCTCCTGAGAGCCACTGGTGGCCTTCACCAGCAGCAGCCCCTGGGCTGATCCCAGGATCCTCTGACAACTCATCTTCCACAGCATGCCCCTTTCTTTCCACGTATCCCATTCCCAAAATCCTGAATTAACTGGCATCAACTGAAGCACTTCAAGAGGCAGATTAGTGCCTGGTAGCAAGAAGCGATGGAGAGGAGGGCGGAGGGAGTTGAAGCTGACTGATTAGCAGGCTAGAGACCCAAGCATACGCCCACAGGGCCGCTGCTCAGACTGATTAAATTCACAACTGTAGTCTAGGTCTTTAAAGATGAACGTGGGCAGCGAGATCCCCACGGTATAAAAATGAAATCTGTATTAATAAAGGATGGGGGAGGTCTACAGAAACTTGCAGAAGAGGTAGGATGAATTTTCAGACTGAAGCCAACAGCCAAACCAAACCAAGTAATACAGTTTTTAAAATGTAAGGCGAGTCCATCACTCCATAATAAAGGAAGTGATGATTGCTTTAAGGTAATTAGTGTTGTGTTCTTGGTTAATTCTAGAATAATGTGATTTTCACATAGCCAAAACCTCCTGAGTGTGTTATTCCAGCCAGTGATGAGGTTGCTAGGGGAAGGAGTTGTTTTTGTTTAGAGCCGCATTATCTCCGAGTTATGAAGTGAGGGAAAGCTGAGGGGTCAGAAGACAACAACTAAGGCAATTAGCTGCCTGTTTACTTCTCCAATGATCATTCCCTATCTCAATTCTCAGGAATTACTAGATGATTTTTAAGGTCCCTTCCAACCCAACCCATTCTATGATTATGAAATACAATATAGATCTATGATAATGAAAATATCCACTAAATCCACACAATGCAACACAATCTGTACTTGCAGTGGGGACAAACTGTCAGTAAAATGCTGATCTTTCAAGAGATTTTAGGAGTGTATTCCATTAATTTTAACCTCAACAAACGAACTGCTGAGATTTCTGGAGCCATGTGAACATCAGGTTAACTGACTCTAGAAATTGCCTGTGCTAGGGAAGACCGGGTAGTTAATTATTATCCATTATGCATTAATAATAGCATTCCTTAGAGTTTATCCTTAAATACAAAAGTAGACTAGTCAAATTCTAGCCGTGCCTGGGAAATAAAACCTCTTCCACATTTAAAAATGAAAACTAAAATTGCCAGAGCAACCATCAGAACTTGGCAGCTGTGTTTTAAGCAGCCTTATCAGTGAATCAGCTTAGGTTTGAGAGCTACCATTAGGCATGAAAGACGCTCTCTCACCCAAAACGCGTGCCTCCCTGAGACCTGCTTCTAGAACAAGCTCCAGCAAGGGTCTCAAGATCAGTTCAAGCTGGCCAAGACACGATTACTGGCACGATATTATTACTTACATGTGTTCAACAGACAACTTCCAGTCAGGACTTACACGTTCATCTGAAAACATGGCGCAGCGAATACGCTGCCAAGCTGAACCCTGGCGTTGGGGAACGAGTGGCTGTCACAAACAGGGAAGCAGAACTGAGGCAAAGAGGAAACCTTTTCCAGAGTTTTGCAAGAGCTGCCAAAGCATTGCCAGAGTTACCTCAGCCCCAAACCTGGCTTCTGAGTTCTCGCTACACAAACCTAATACTTTCTCGCTATGGGGCATTTTGCATCATTTTACTTTTCTGGAATGAAGGTGTATTATTTCACATCTCAGGTTTTTCAAACGGCCTCCCAGACCTCATCCATGCTTCTGAATGAAAACAGCCTGGTATAGGGAGGTGCTGGATACCTACTACTTCCAATGGAGTCTGCCTTTATATATTTTTTGACTGATTAAAAATGGTAATAACTGATTTGACCCCACTGGATTTTATTATAACAAAACAAGGAGAATTACTTTAGCCATTTCTTGCTCCAATTGTAATCTTCTGTTAATCTTCTGCTGGTAGGTCTTTATGACATTTTCTACATGTTGCTCCATGTAGAACTTGAAGGCAAAAGGTGAGTAGCTCTTTATTCGGGATTCTCGCTTTTCCTCATCTTTGCCGTTTTTTCGCACAGGCACCGGAGACGTCTGAATCTGCTTTTTATCCTTGCTTGGTTTTTCAGCTTTAGTGTTCTTGTTGCTTTTATCATTTCGCTCACTGTTCTCCTCAGCCTTATTGCACGTTGAACTGGGGACTACGCGGAGGGTCTGCTCTACGCCCATGCACAAGCAGTTGATATCAAACTGCTCGGAGCCACCGGGAAGTAACAAATGCTTGGGATACGGTGGTGGCGGACACCGCAGTTCCTGGTTACCGTAATCCACGTCGAGTTGGTAAGCATTAGCTGCTGCAACCGGTGACACATGCTGCTCAATGATCTCCAAGCCATCCACAGCCGGTGCCTGCGCAGGTAACCAGCCGGGATGGGAAGGGCCCACTGCAGTCTGAGGCTCGGGTCTCATCACTCGCATGCTCTTCACCGGCTGGAGAATATGAGCAGATGTGACTGCTGTGATCGTATTTGGAGACGTAATTGAAGGATCAGGTTTTCCTGGAGGAACCTGCCTTATAGACACTGTCACTTGTGGCTGTTGCTGGTGGTTGTTGAAGGAGTTCGTTCTGCTCGGCACTGTGGCGTCGGGTCTGAAGGATACATGTTGCCGTGGAGATGTTTCTATTCCTGGGTTTTGTAAAGAATCTCGGCGTGACGGTGTTGCTCCCTGCCACTGCTGAACTTGTGGATTATTCATGTCATAGAGGTCCATGTTTAGGCTATTTCTAGATGGAGTTAATAGATTTTGTGGTGGACTGTCTGAAAAATCATTAGCAAAGGCTGGACCTCTGGATATCACATGCATTTGATGAGAAGAAGGGCTTGTCTGTTTGTGATGAGAATGTGATATATACAGGCTTGCCGGTGCCTGCTGAAAAGCATGACCAGAATTATTCTGAACAACTGCCCCTTTATTCGGGAGATTGGTGTATCCTCCCTCCTGCTGCATCTTGTTTTGGAAGGATGGACTCCGCTGAACACCATACCCCATAGGTTCCCCCTGCACCATCATGTGCTGCCGACTGTAATGTTGGCTGTTGGAGCTGTGGGGCGCCTGCAGCTGCAACGCCTGACTGCTGTGATTAGCCACCGGGTAATTAATCACAGAAGACTCGATATTTGCAGGGTACGTTTTCTGCTGATGGCTTGCTGGTGTGCTGTGAGTGCCTACTCCAGAGGGTCGCTGTACAGGAGCATTCATAGCTGTAGACTGCGAAGCAGAGATTAAATAGTCCATGTATGGCCTTGGAACTTCAGTAAGCATATTTGCACCTTCTGCTCCAAAGCCTGTCCCTTCATAGGCTGCGTTACTGATCTGATGGTAGGACGGAAAAGATTCGTTTGATCCTTCGAAGCTTGGCCTGCGGGTTACATTATTTGGCACCATACCCTTTCCTTTATAAAAAGAACACAGAAGAATGTTAGGAAACAATTCAGGTGAACCAATTACTTTACATTACTCATCCATCTATACATACAGACATACACACACACGCTGCGTAGGGAGTATGTGTTATAAAAACACCTTCCAAAATCTAAATTAAGCACTCTGAACATTTAAAGTTACAGGTGCCAAGAATTACTGCTGATAACGAGCTACTGGCCCACAGCACTGCTCATGCCAGGAATCATCAGGGAGTCCTATCGAATCATGAAAATAGAAGCACAAATTCCTTAACTGTGAAATCATCAGCTTACACTACAGCCTGTTTTTTAAAGCTGGACCACTATTACCAGTCATTACTCACAGACAGGAGGAAGCTGTAGAGCAGGAGGTTAAACACAGCACTGATGGGAGAAAAAAGGCTCCCGGAAGGACTGTAAATACAACCTAAAGTAAACATTACTATAAGCTACTGGGTCATCACACAGTCCACATCTTCTGGACAGTGAGCTCGCTGCTTACGCTGGGCATCTGTTTACATCTCTGTTCCATCGTTCTCCTCACAAATCCTTGTTTCCCGCTCCTTCATCATAAATTTTGTCCTCTATTCTTTCCAATGTGTTGGACACAGAGTATCCCCTCGTATTACTCATCTTCCATCTGTTTGGAAGGCAAGTCTTTCAGAGTGTCAACACGTTAATCTTAGCTTGAAGAATGTGTGGAGACAAGACAGCAGCATTCCTCTACTGGAAGTGCTAATGGCACTTTTCATCAGTTCTTTGATCTGAGCACAAACTGCAGGTGTACAAAGCACTGGCTGTACTAAAAAGACAAGGGGAGACTGTGCAGTCGCTATTTTTTGTTCCCCTTCTGGTTCTTTAGCTTTCACAAATCACAGGACCTGGCCCATTTATGCCTAAACAACTTCCTGCTAAATTCTGGACTTCACAAGGTCCACAAGAATACTCGTGTTGAGCTAACAGGCCTAACACTGGATTGCAAGCTTTGCCAGTGATTTGCGTCCCAGCACGTCCCAGCCAGGCCTGATGCAGCACAGCTGAGCATAACTGTGGACTCCTGGCCCTGACACAGGCCCTGCTCTATTCAGACACACAAGACATGCGTGTTGTCGGACTCCTGGCCCTGACACAGGCCCTGCTCTATTCAGACACACAAGACGTGTGTTGTTTAGACAGGTCTGTGCACCGTCTCTGCACACCGAAGAGGCTGTCCCCACACTAGGTGACACTTTCACAAACAATGCCATGTGTTGAAACGGGATCAAGTTAGACAAAAAATCAGTGTTTTTTACAGTGAAATCTATCGACAGCAGCTCTTTCTCCTATGGCAACACAAGGCCATGCTTACTGAGGCTGTGCTTACAACAGCACTCCCTGACAGCCCATCTGCTGGGACACAGCGAGATGCAGGGATGAGGCTGTGGCGATCCAGAGCATCCTAAGAAGTGGCTGCTCTGGCCTGGAGGTGGGCGGCAGCCCTAAGACCCCTTTATCATCTCTGTCAGCAGGACTCACACTGAGCCTCAGGGGCAAACTGACTTTGCTCTTTCCTATCAGTGGCCATGGAGGAAAGTAGCAGCAATCACTGTACTCCTTCGTGACACATACTTCTGCTGTGCAAGGCATCTTGCTGATGTCAAGGGAGATACGATGTCCATATCCTAGATTTGTAAGCCAGAAAGTCTGTTCTGGTCTGAGGGAGGAGTATTTGAATTTCTGCAGATACCAAACGTGGTAGATGCAGATGATTTTTTTTTCACACATTCCTATCCAACAGGGTAACTGTTATGACTCTCTCTAGCCTGTGAAGGTTTTAAATCAGAGTGTATTCTTAAGATTAATCAACTATATTCAAGAGATCATCTGGTTTTATACAAAACTTTCTCTCACACAGTAATACCTAGCAAATTTTATTTGAGTCTTCCCAGTATGATGAAACTCATTAGCTTTACTACTGATGGTAAAACAGGACAAAAACGAATAATGTGAAAATCTATTTACAGATACCAACATACGGAATTCAAAAAAGGAAGATTTAAATTCTCAAACTGCAAATTAAAAGTTCCAAGTAGCATGAGACACATACTAATGACACAGAGGAGACCTATGCTATCCTAGCACAAACAATACCATACCAAACAAATCAGTATCATTTTATGGCACCTCAGGCAGGCAAACATCAATTGTGTGATATTTAAGTTTCGCATTCTGTGTATCCTAAAAGCAAAGGTGGATCTTCAGCTGGAAAGGGGAAGTATTCAAAACAGCTGCATGCATTGGAACGTTAAGAAAGCAAAACCAAATGCAAATGAAAGACAACTGGGTAATTAAAATGTTAGCCTAGAAAGATTGTTCAACCCTTTCAGAGGAAATGTATGCTCTTTAGGACTGGGTATGCTCCTTCACTTCAAGGAACGAAGCCTTTATAATGTAAAGCAAAACACAGCTCAGTAATTCTGTCAAAGTTATTTTAAATTCTCCTTAAGGCCCAGTTGAGGCCACATTTGTGCATGTATTAGGAGAGAGGTCTCCAAACAGCAAAGTGGCCAGTACTCGCTCTCAGGTGGTCATGGTGCAGGGTAACACTCTCACAAATGTTTCCTTAGGGTTTTCTAGAATTTCCCCAAATTATAAAACAGGAAGTCTAAGACTGATAGAAAGGGCAGCTGAGCTGCTCCTTACACAGAACCACCACCCTTTCCCACCACATCTGAAGCTCCATCCCTGAGAGTGGCCACCTGGAAAACGAGGTCCTTCCCTGTTTCTGTCTTCCCTATATGTGTCTACGCTCAGGCCCACCCAGGAAAGAAGTGGGTTTTCTCAAGGTGTCCTTCCTGTCCAGGGATTTCTCTCTGCAAACTGAATAGGCTTTTTCTTCCTCAGCTTTCCTCATCTCTGGACATGACTCTCTCTCAGTGATGTCAAATTTTACACCCTTCCCCACAAAGACCTTAAATTTGATCACAAGGCAAGAAGGAAGGTGCTGCTGAGATGGTCAAGAAGGAAAATTTGCCATGTGGAAATCACTTGCACTCAGTAAACTCAATTTATGACCACATCTAGAGATCTATACTACTGTAATGAGGTTGATTGAATGGACTCGTTAGCTTCAACTAGTCCAACACAGACAAGACAGTTGGACCTGATGATCTTAAAGGTCTTTTCCAACCTAAATGATCCTATGATTCTGTAAAAGATTCTATGACCTTTTAAGTCTAAATGTTGCCACTGAGGCAAGAGAAGTTTCTTGTCCAATGAAACAGGCCCCTGACAACAGCTTTCCAATCCGCTCAACCCTCTGTTCACTAACACCTCTGCAGCATGTAACACTACTGTGTGATTACACAGGTTCAGCCAGCCAGAGGATGGTATTTGTCTGCTTGGCCAATTTTTGACAGTGAAAGAAGAAAAAAGTAACAAACTCTATGCAAACCAGAGTGTATCCTGATCACAGATCAAAAGCATTCTGCAATGTTCTAAGTGCTTGGCCCAAGCTCTTTCTGCAGTAGACTTACAAGGATGTTAACAGGAATGAATTCCTGGGAAGTGAGCTATCTCACAGTGTCATAGCAATTACCTACGCACAAGCTTTTACCTCACGGTAAACTTGAGAGGATGGAGCTGACTTGCACCGAAGGATAACCAGCTTTCTGTGTAAGAATGTGGCCTACAAATGTACATGGACAACTCTGGCAAAGCAGGTGAGCTGTACTCAGCTTCCAGCCCAGCTCACCTGGCAGGGCCATGTTCACATCTCCTACAAGACTGCTACTGAACACTGACAATCCACAACTCACCAGCAATGACTTTGCTTTAAAAACTAGCTTATTGCGAGAAGGAAGAACAAAATTTAAGCAAAACGTTCATGCTTACCTGGTGAGGTCTGCTTAATTACACGTACTATCTGTTCATTTCTAGGATCCAAGTAGCTCATCTTACTGATATACTCCAGAGCCGCTTCAATGCTTCTGCTACCCGTCTGCTTCAGTGCTCGGACAGCCATCTCCTGTGTAAAGCAAACAAGAATTGAATCGCACTGAGACAAAATTCAAGCACTGCACTGCAGGCTAGAAAGCAGTAAGAATTCTTACATTCACAAAAACATGTTATAATTCACACTAGATCATGGCTGCCTGAAGTCAAATGGACTCGTATTTTCAAAAAATTTGCATGCCTTATACAACTCAAAAATTAAAAGAAGAAAATATAACAAAACCCACAACCTACCCAGACTCTGGCAGTTAAATAAGCATCAAACTGAAACGTGTACTTTAAGATTCCTTAAAATAAACTTTTAATGAGGTTTGGAAAAGGCAGCACAGTTTGACATAGGGTGAAGTAGAATGAAATATTTAGCTTTTGGTATTTGAGAGCGTGTCTCTTCGTCACACCTGAACACAGTAAAAGCTTTACGCTTTCACCAATGCCATAAGGAGCCAACTAGGCAGGGACTGATTTCTGCTGAGTAGAGACAATGGGGCAGACAGGCTGCTGCTTTCAGTACAGCTGGGACATCGTTCACTATGTGGAAAACAACTAGGCATCCCGAACTGCATGTTATGTTGTTCGTCTTCTTAGCTGTGTTTTATTGGGCACACATCCATCACTGAGAAGTTAATATGTGTGCCAGGCACACAGCCCGAAAGCCCAAACTGGGGCAAAGATGAATGCTGTAGTTAAACCACTCTAACACAACCACGCTTAGCATCCCCTGCGCTACAGCCAGCAAGTCACACTCTCCTGCAGCTTGTTTATGCTTTTACTTACAGCTCAGGTACACAGAATACCTTTCAACAATGACTCTAGCCTCTGGATGCAAAGCAAAACTCACAGATCCTCACAAGACTGCGTGGTCTTCTCTGAAGTGATGGAGAAACTGAAATCCAGAGCTTCAATGTTCAATTCAACTCACTGAACTTCCCCCATCAGAAAGTTAGATACCTAGTCAGAAGCAGTTGTTGAGAACCTTCCTATAATCACCTCCAAAAGGCAATTCATAAAATAGATGCAACAGGACATAAACTGACCTTTGGTGACAATCAGTGGACTAATTTGAACTGGCCTCCTAGCGCTTAGATGGTTAAATTTGGATGAAGCTAGTGTCACCATCAAAGCCTTGCCTGCAAATGTCAGTATCCTATTATCTTGCCACTTTGCTGCCATTTTTAGGGCACTTCTGTCATCACAACCTGCCCACTGAGCACTGAATCAGATGCAGTATGTGCCCGCTTGGCTCGGCTTACCGACTGCAGATGTGACGGCTGGGCTGGCCCAAGCGCACCGCTCTCCCGCGGGGCAGGCCTGCCCACAGGCCAGCAGTCAGGCAGCCCCACACGTACGCCCCTTTCCTGGATCACCCGGAGCAAAGAGCAACTTTGCTCCACTGAACTGCAAGCACATGTAACACACTCGCTAACTGTTTACTTAGCAAGGGAGGACCATCTCAGATGACACTAATTCACACTTAGCACAGAGCTGCACGCTGGCACTTGGCATTGTGCTTTGCTTAGCTCAGTCCTCTCCTACTCCCCCCAAAATGGAAACATTTGCTCCATTACTCAGAGGTTCTGCTCGGGGAATAGCTATAGCAAGTTTGAATATTTTTCATACAATTTATGACTCATAATTCATAGAAAGGCAGCAGTTGGTTTCACATTTCCTATAGCTGAAATATTTCACTGGCATCAACACATTACTAAGGGCAATTTTAAATCAACAGAAAACTATTATGTATGAAGGAAAGAATTTCCCACAATGTTTTTTCCCTCCCTTTCTTTTTTCTTCTTCTGGATACGTTTCTAAAGTATTCACAAATTTGCATCCTAGTGCTCAGCATTATCACCCAGGGACTCTGGGCTTCACAGCCCAGTTCCACAGAGCTGTTAACACACTCTTCCCATTCACACCAGCTGAATCCAGCCTTAGATCACAAGTCGTAAAGTCTCCTAAATCAAACCTGCTCCATATCCACTTTTGGGCTGGCTTGGATGTTGGGGGTTTTTTTTGGGTTTGTCTGCAATGGAGCACCAAGAGAATAAATGCTTGGTAAACAATTATCTTAATGATTAATGAAACAGCTCATATAAACCATTTCTCCCTCTGTTAGCTGTGTTTGCCACATACAATTCAAAGTGGCTAAAATAGGTTAGGTTTTTTATCACCAGCACAGTGATAATTATCTCTGAAAACAATCCTTCCCCCCCCCATACTGTGGCACCACTTTCTCCTCTTTTGGCACTGCTTGTGTCAGAAAAGCAGAGTAGAAATGACACTGAGTAGAAATGGTCTATTTGAAGCTGCATATTCTACCTTCTGCACGTATGTTAGGGGATTTGTATTTAAACTTCAGTGGGAATAACGAGGGGAAACACCCCAAACATTTCACTGTGGACTGTACGATAACCTAAGAGTGCCAGCAAGACCTTGGAACCAGCAGATGTGTCGCTGGCAATCCCACCCTGCGAGCCTCCAGCGCAGCAGCAGCCCCCTGCTCCAGCTCACCGCCTCTCATCTTTCATTAGGTCAGCTCCCACCCTCCCAAGAGTTTCCTCATTACATATCCTGTTTGCTTAGCGTTTACATTAACGCTGGAAAAAATGAAGTAAGTTTTTTGTGGTTCAAAAGAACACCTGCGGTTCCCCCATGCACCACCCCATAGCTTTGGCCCCTTCCCCACAGCTCTCACAAGATGCAAATAGCCCCAGTTTCTGATGGTGGTTCACAACAGCCTCGCATCATCTCCATGCAAATGGAGAGCGACCAACAAACCACAAACATTTCACATACAAAAGGAAAGGGTTTTTCTCAGAGGCATATCATGGATAACCATAATTCTCTACCCAGGAGACAAATCCCTTTGGGGGCATGGGATACTCCAGGAGAGTGGAGAGCAACAAGAAGCTCCAGCACTGTTACAGCTCGCGTTTGGCCTCCTCTGTTATTTTCCCATTGCCATCCTCCATGCCCACAGCTCTCTCCTCTCTGGCAGCCCCGTGAAGAGAGCTCCACTCATTCCAGCACCTTTCCATCAGGGATGGGGAAAAAGCCGATGCATGGCTGAGGCTCACGGAGGGTGTGCTCTGTGCCTGCGGCAGCCGCTGGCTAACGGGGCATGGTGGCCCTCTCCTTCCTGTGTGCAATGCAGCGACGAGCTCTGCGGAGCAAGGGACCGTAGCAGGGCCGAGGCAGCCAAGGGCTGGGCTCCAGGAGCCTGCTGAAGGGCGGCAGCAGCCACAGCTTGGGCTGCATTTGCTGGAAATCAGTGTGAGATGGGAAGAAGGGCGGAAGATGGATTAAGCAGTGTCAGTAGTTAAACTTGTTGGAGAGCAGAGGCTTAACAATATGGAAGGTGTTTGTGAGAAGCAGCAGAATGGTTCAAGAAGGAGAGAAATCAATGCCAAAATCTTGCAAACTGATACTGTAGACAGTAGAGGGTCTGAGGAAACAAGAGGGCAGACGCTGGGCAAGGATAAAGTGCACAGCTACACTGACACAGAGAGAGCTGTCTTGACTTTATGCCACTCTAAGGTAATTATGTTTTAGAAAGCAAAGGAAAAAAAGACCAGAAATGAGACATGAAAAAAAAATCCACTCGGAGCGGTATCCAATGCCAAAACATTCAAGTAGGCACAGGATCAAACCCAGCTCCCACTGAGGTCAACGAAGATTTCCATTAACTGTAAGGTACGCTGCATCAGGCCCTCCGCTTCGGATAGTTTCCTTTCCAGCCGGCCAAACGCTGTCAGCCGCAGCATGGTTTGAGAAACCTGGCCGCTGCTGCGCTCTGCTAACCCCCAGCCAGCTGTCAGGCTGCAGGGAGAACACGGCCCACTGGCAGCGCGCACATAAACCTCACGGGAACACAGCGGTCCCGGCCCCAACTCATTCCTTGCATTCTGCGTATTCCCTTCGAGGGATTCAGACTTCCCCCCGCGCAGGGCTTTTATGCACCTTTTTTGCTTCCAGACATCACTAGCAGTTGGTGAAGAAACAAACCAGAAAAAGTAAAGGTTGAAAAGCTACATGGGAAAAATGCACTTTTACAATTAACTCCAAGAATGTTGTAATTAATGTTACAGCTGCAATATTAAAATGGGTTTTCAGCGGTCAGCTGTGGTTCTGGACAGATCTAATGGAAAAAACAAAGTCAAGGCCATGAACCACGAAGCAGATTGAGGCAACTTGGCAAGATTCCAAATTTGTGGGTTCATGGAGGAAAATGGGGAGGGGAGTGTTTCCCAGCTAGTTCCTATGGTGGGCTACCCACACCAGGCAGCTGCAGGGTCAACGTGCTCTCCGTTACTTCCCCAGTCTCGGGCTGGTAGAAGGCAGTTTTCCAAGAGATTTCAAGATTTTGCTAGAAGGAAGGCCACCTTTGAGCTCAATAGGGAAAACCCTTGTTTGATGGTAAACAGCTATTTGGATGTGTGCATATACAGCCTTCACCTCACTCTGTGCTCTGTAGGCAATGGGAAAGATTTCCCCGTTTTACCCTCCCGCCTGGCTGTACTCCACCAGCACTGGCAGAGGCTTGCGTTCTTGCTGTACTACAGGGTTGTCCAGCAACATTTTTCATTCAGAAAGCTTCTCGTTGCCAAGATGTATTTATCATCCAAGTGAAGATTGCACAAGAGGTTACAATAAGTAAGACTTTTTCCCAAGAACATTGTGTCTGAAGGAGACAATAGGTCCTCCAAGATTTGGCAAGGGTAATTAATTGCTAACAACAACAAAAATTAATTGCTTGCTTTCCATTCACTAAGAAGGATGGGCGACAGATGCAGGAAACAGATACAGGTTCCTTGCGGAAGGGAAAAAACTAAAGCTGATGCCAGATGAGATGATGCAGAATTGACTACAAACCTTTCTGCAATAGCCCACCATTGTAGGAATTTTCATTCATGATTTTAAACATGCAGAACCTAAGAAATTCAGGGAACAATATGCTCTGTCAGGATTGCTGCAGCCCCACAGAACAAAGAACCTTATTTTGTAATATTCTCTATC